TGCCATGAGGCTGCATGGGGAAGGAGGTAACGCATTTTGCCAGTGGAAAGGGGAGCGGTGCCCCCAGATGCTGGGTTCGGGGGCAGCAGTGCCTGGCAAAAGATAGGTATGATCACAGCTCCCCCACCCAACCCTGGTCACTTAACTAGAAGCTTGTCCACACCCGACAGAAAGATGGGGACCAAACAGTGATGGAGTGCAAATGTACAAGATGAACTTTTGGAGTTGGTCTTGTGCTTGCTGGTTTTGCTTTATTATTTATTGAGGACTCCATAAGAATCCCCGTGAGAAGACAGAAAGAGAGAGAGAGAGAGAGAACACAGAAGAGAGAATAAAACGTCAAAAGAAACACAAAGCTTCAAAAAGAATTCATCTTTCCTTGGGTGTTGTAGGCTCGATGAAGGGCTCATTCCCCACGGGCAGGCAGCATGTTAGGCCATTTAAACATTGCCCGGCGTGGACTTCTTTTTCAAGGCAAAATTCCTGGCAGGAGCCATTTGGGTGCTCACAGATCTTGAATTTGCCCCTGGCTGTGCAGAAAGGAGGGTTACTATAACTATTTATAAGACTCCCTGAATTAAAAACAAATTTTTTTTTTACTACTTATTTATTTTTGAGAGAGGGGGAGGGGGGCAGAGAGATAGGGAGACACGGCTCCAAGCTCCGAGCTTTTAGTACAGAGCTCAGCTCGGGACCCGAACCCATAAACTGCAAGATCATGACCTGAGCTGAAGCCCGGATGCCACCCAGGCACCCCAAAGGCATTTTTCTTACTTTTTTAAATTGTTCTTTGCTAGTGAATCTTGTAGATTGCACAATGTCATATCTAGCTTTTTGCTTTCAAAACAGAAGCTAGAGTCACCATGCACATCAAAGAGGATCTGGTCTGCTTAGTCAACTTCCAGGTGAGGAAATGAGGCCAAGGGAAAAAGAAGCACCTTGGCCAAGCTCGATGATTGGGTGAGGGCGGGAGCGGGACAGAGGTGAAACTGTGTTCTCAGCCCCGTTGTATTTCCCCTTCATGCTTCCACTCGGTATCCCCCTCCCTTCCCCTGGCTTCCCAAGGAAAAGCTTCAGTCCCGCTGCAAATGACCCCTGACGGCAGCAGGAGAGATCCCAGTGCACCCAGCACAGGTATCAGAGACGGGTTTGCCTCTGCTTTTCTAAACACAACACTGCTTTCCTTTCTTTTGGTTGAGTGACTGAAAACAAAACAAAAAAGAATTAGTTTTCAAAATTTGGAAGCTGTAAGACTTCATTTCCTATCTTCCGTGCAACCCATCTGGCTAGTGAGGATGGCCGCTTAGTAAGTACCAATCAGACGGGTCTGTGGCAATGCCACGTGGACATTTTCAGCTGAAGTTCCCAGCTCTGTGTGCTCCTGAGTTAATGTCCTCGGATATGGCTTCACCTCTCACCAGGTCCGGGAGTCCGAGAAAGGAGGCAGGACAGTGGAGCCCTGGCGGGGAGGAGGTGAAGACCAAGCCTTGAGTGACAGTTAGCTCCCTCCTGCAGCCTGGGGGAGGCCCTCACTTTTTTTTTTTCAATATATGAAGTTTATTGTCAAATTGGTTTCCATACAACACCCAGTGCTCATCCCAAAAGCTGCCCTCCTCAATAGCCATCACCCACCCTCCCCGCCTCCCACCCCCCATCAACCCTCAGTTTGTTCTCAGTTTTTAAGAGTCTCTTATGCTGAGGCCCTCACTTTTCACAGCCTTGACTTTTCCTCTATAAAATACAAACGAGAGACTAGAGCATCGAGACCTTGTCAATGACAGTGAATGATTTTATGGTATCTGCACCTGTCATACATAGCTTCTCTGCTCATTGTAACAAGGATAAATGCTCTTTTGTTTTGGTAAGAAAATACTTCTGCATCGTTTAAAAGAATACTTATTCTGGGGCACCTGGGTGGCTCAGGTCATGATCTCGCAGTTTGTGAGTTTGAGCCCCACCCCACGTCGGGCTCTGTGCTGACAGCTCAGAGCCTGGAGCCTGCTTCAGATTCTGTGTCTCCCTCTCTCTTTGCCTCCCCCTCTGTCTTAAAGATAAACATTTAAAATAAATAAATAAAAGAATACTTATTCTTCCCTTTAAATAAGAGAAACATTTTCAAGTTAAGTCATAATGAGCTCAGCCAGGCTTTTACATATTAGCTCTTCACAGTGGGATGGAGTAGCTTGACCCCAGACCCAGAGGTATGATTCCAGACTGTTGTTCACGCCAAACCCTCGTGCGTGTGGAACGGTGGATATACTTCACACACGTGCACACACACAGATTATTACTAAGGGCAAGATGCAATGAAAGCCCTGGAGAGGCAGCCTCAGACACTCCCAGTACCATACTGCTGCCGTGATTTTCCATCCAAAGCCTGCTTCTGCGGGGCGGAGGGCCTGAAGCATCCCAACCTTGTGTTGCCTTGGGCTTTTGTCACTCTTTTGGTCATGCCTTATTCCTCTCCCACCTCTCACTTAGGGAAGCTCTCCTTCATCCTGTGCCACAGCTCTGTTTTGGGGCTTGGTGACTCTCTCCTGGGCTCTACAGCCACCAAAGTGACTGGCCTGTGACTTCTTGGGAATCAGGGGCCATCATATCTTCCGTGGCATGCCTGCTTCCTGGTAAGGGCCTCCCCTACTGTGGGAGCCTGACAATATCTGATAAACTGGACCAGCTTCCCACCCCCAGCCTCTGCGCACCCGAATCTCGCCCCTGCTGCTTCCTCCAGAGTAGCTCTTCTGGAACCAAGTTGCAGCCACTTTATAAGCCGTACCCTCCCCACCAACCTAAAGTACTGTCTATCTGTTCGCAGTAAGCAGTCCCTTAAAACCCAGGCTTTGCTGGGAAAGTCAGGATTCACCGAGACTAGGCGTGCCTCCCATTATATTTCCTGGTGGAAATTTTGGGAAGCATTCTTTTGCAAACAACATAAAACGCAAGAGTCAACAGTTCCCTGACGAATAAGAGGACGGCCCAGCTCCTCTTATCTGTGCCTGTTTTCCTATCCCTTCCGGATCCTCGAGGCCCCGAATTGTCAGGAGCAGATGACAAGACATTCCATTTGATGGAGAGCACTACGTTGCTCGTGCCTCCTTGGAGCTACAGGTCCCGAGTTTTAGGGAATTTAATGATCCATTTTGGGTATCTGGCCACTTCCTTGGGTGAAAGCGAGGAGTGCCCACCCAATTACATGTCTGTGCAGGGCGCCTCACACCCGTGACCCATGTTTGCACGCTGAATGCAGGAAGATACACTCCACTGGGGTGTCGTTGCTGATGCCTGTGTTTAAGTTCAACTTTGTAAGACTAGATGTCGGAAAGGGGGGGAAAAACTAGGGGTTGGGGTGGAGCCTCCAGGGACAGAGTCAAGCACAGGACACCAGCAGCACGAAGGAGCAAAGGACTGGACATTTCTTAGATCAGAGTAAGCCTTTCGAGGAGACCCCCTGGTTCGTCCCTCTGCCGGGGCCCCTACAGCTCTGGTGGGGCTCTTACGCCAGTACCTTGGAATACCCTGGACTTTTGCTGCAGGTAGGTAGAGGACCTTGGAAACCAACAATTATTAGAAGAATGCCCCATTTGGGGGGTGATGGCGATTTTGCTCCAAGTACTGGATCCCCATAAGGTCTCAGGCACTCGACTCTTACCAAGACTTCAGCAAAGTTTCTTTTGTTACCTGGTAGAACTTGGCTCATGGACAACGGTAAAGAGGAGGGCTGGAGAGAGGACAAAGCTTGGCTTCATTTCCGAGAGGCAGAGAGGACTTCCGTCTGCGGCTCTCCAGCACTGGCAGAATGTCTTTGTCTGGATGATAAGCACCCTTCTGTACCTCATTAGGGATATTCATGGACCCAGGTGTTCTACGCATACACAATTGCCTTCAAGGGAAGACTGGGGATCCTTGTTCGGTCGGACACTCAGTTCAGTAGGAGGACGTGGGTGCACCGTTTGATCAGAAAAGCTTATTAAATGGGGACAGAAGCTCCAAACACCTTGGTGGCAGATCAGAGTGTAGGAACAGAGCCATCTATATCAAGTTACAAGGAGAAACCAGTCGGGTTAGTTAGTGACTAGACATTTTGTCGGTGAATGCTGCCCAGGCTTTCCTAATAATAACCACCGCGCTCGCTCCTGGTCTGAATGCCCTCGGTGCCCTGCTCCTGGGACGGTGCTTACCACCCCGTGTGTTAGTCTGCTTAACACACGCATACTTCCCCCACGAAGGTGTGGGCTTCTTACTTGTGGGGATCACACTTTGCTCCTTGAAGCGTGAATCACATGGTCATTTACTTTCAAACGCTCCTCGTGAAATGGAACAATGCGGGGCAGTGACATGCCACTGAACGCAGAGACACAAGGTCTGGATGGAGGTGCTGGATCTCCAGACCTGCTACTGACTAGGCGTATGGACGTTGGCAGGAAGATTGTCTTCCTCGGATGTCCACAGCGCCCGTACAGATCTGGATCTGTTGAATCCACATCGGGGGTCTCTTAATCATTATTGTGTGTGCGACTAACAGGGAAAGTTGCTGTTTAATGTGGACGTGTAGATGCACTCTCAACATTTTCAGTGTGGTAGGGTGGGGTGGAGCCTGGAAGTCTGCTTGAACAAGGCTCCCCGGTAATTACTCTGAAATTTATTCTGGAATACTCATTGGAAGGTGTCAACTTGAATATTCTCAAAGCTTCTTTGTAGCTCCAATATCAGAAAATCCTAAGTTCGCGTGTCTTAGGATAAACCTCATGTTTGGGTTTTGTGATTGACAACAGTGCAGGACCAGAGCCCTTCACCCTCCGCTCAGTATTCTTCTCCTGAAGAGGTCCATGCACGGGTCTCTGTACTCACACATGCCCGCTGACAGCTACCCTCTCCCTCCTGTGGCTCACGTGTACAACCGTGGAACACAGGGAGTGGTGCAGTCTTAGGACTCTGACTCCAACCCACCCCATATGCGTGCCTCGTCATTCACGTAGAGGAGGATGTACCATGATCGCTACCTCCTTAGTTTAATATAACTGTAACTATAAATTCATTAGTATTTCTGTCACTTTGTTCATTATCATGATAGTTCTGATTGTTATTCACCATTAATTTTTATTAATTATTACCATTCTTACTGTGGGTCATTTTTGTGGGGTTATGCAACACTGAAGAGAGGCTGACTGTTGATTAAGGCTGCATGATTTACTGAAGATGATTTCAGACACGCACATGCCAGCTGCAACCTCACTCTCACTCCACTGCCTGGGTGTCCTTGCACTTCCAGAGCCTCTGGAAAAATGTAGCAATACCCCTGAGGACCCAGCAACCACGTTTGCTGTCCTGTCTCCTTGTCACATCCAAGTCAGCACTAAATGCTCTAAGCTAACTCTGGGGCACAGGATCTGCTCCTGCAGGCGTGGACGAGTCACGAATGGCATCCATGGCATTCCCAAGACTCTTCTGTAGGCAGACAGGGTGTCCAGGGGGAGCACTCTTGATCTGCTGAACCCCTAAAAATTTGCAAGTCCCCTCACGATGCCAGCACCTCTTGTTCTGGCATCGATGACCCAGGAAGATCTATCACAAAATTTTCTTCTAAGTCTATTCAGGGTTCTGGGAACTGCCCTGTTGTCCTGGGAAGGACGGACAGGGTGTCTATACCGGCATGTGCCGCCTTAGAATTTGATGTCTGCTCAGAGCCCAGAAACTGCCATTGCCACACCCGAAGAGTGTCCTAGGCCTTTCTGAACCTCTGGAAATTGTCTAAGTACCTTCAGGTGTCTTGGAAATGCAGCTATTGCCCTGGAAGGCACAGAGATGATGACCCTCTGGCCTGAGCAAGGACGGCCTTCATGAAGTAGGTCAGGGCATCCTTGAACTACTTGTGTTGGTCTGTCGCCCCCTGCTGGTCCAGGAACAGCATTGAGGACACCTTCCCACAGCCCCCTGCAGTTGCCCTGCCCGGCCTCCCCCAAACAAGTCCCCCAGGGTTCTGTGGGGAAGAGCTGTTGGAAGGGCATCCAGGCAGCGAGAGCTGAGGCAATGCTGGGACCTAACGTAGGTATAGTCAGGGCCTCTATGTGCAGAGGGTGGGTCTGGCTCCTGCCTTCCCTGCTTGGAGCCCAGCCCCGTCATCCAGAAGGCAGAATCTGAAACCCGGTGGGTGTGCAGTGATGGGCAGGCCCAGGACTGAAGTCCCTCTGTTTTCCTCAGGACACCCCTCTGAACTTTGTGCACGGAGCTCCCAAGTTCACTCACATCCTTCTCCTCGGCTCTCTCTTTTCCTCTGCTGCTACTTTCTGCCTTAATTTTTTTTCTTTGTTCAGACCTTGGACTCTGGCCTCAAACTATCCCATGAGGCCAGAAACTGGTCCCTTGCCATTCATACAGGGGAGTCTGTACTCTCACCTCCCATTACCTTAGGTTTATTGTTCTTGTCATTAGTAGTGGTGGTGTTATTATAATCATTATGTTGATTATCATTTCATTTTCATTGTTAGTCATTATTATTCTTACGAGTATTTTCTTAGTAACAGTATTCATCTATTTTTTCTTATTGATTATGACTTTTTTAAGTTTATTTATTTATTTTGAGAGGGAGGAGGGGCAGAGAGAGAGGAAAGAGCGAGAATCCCAAGCAGGTTCTGCACTGTCATTGCAGACGTGGGGCTCAAACTCACGAACCATGACATCATGACCTGAGCTGAAGTCAGATGCTTAACTGACTGAGCCACCCAGGCGCCCCATGGGTTATAATTTTGTAGTCAACTTATAGGACACTGAGGGCTTCCTGTAGGACTTAGAAAACCCCGAAGTCACTCAGGCAGGCAGGCGGACATTCCTGTGCCTTCCAGCGTGGTAACAGGATTTCTGGGGCCACTGAATGGACTAGGAATGCTTCCAGGAGCTTGGGTAGTCTTTGGGTGCCCTTGTGACACCTCAGTTGAGGCGGCTGTGTGTCTGTGTGTCTGTAGGGGACCCTTGTAGTTGTGTCTGGCAGCCAGATGCCCTTCCTGAATAGAGAAGCTATATGCCATGCTGTAAGATAGAATCACAATTATAATCGGTAATAACAATAATAATCGGTCATAATAAAAACCGATGCGTATCAGCAATCATGATGATAAGCATGTGATACTGACACTCATACCTATTGATTATATTGACAATAATAGTAAACCTATGGACTTGAGACACAGAGGAGAGATTTCCCTTAGTGAATGTAGGTACAGATACTGGGCCTCATGAGGTAGTTTGGAGTCCCAGGAGGCAGAGGTGACCAGCCAGAAAGAGAAGAAAATCAGCTGGAAGTAGGCGTGTGCAAACACGGGGAACCCGAAAGGAACCCCAAGCCCTGAGCATCCAGGCCAGCCAACACCCAGCAGCTTTGGGGAGAGGAGACAGCCGGCTGATGGGGCAGGGCCCCGTCCCAAGAAGGCAGGGCTCCAGACCTACATACGGCGCCCAGAAGCACGGACTCTGACAAACAATAAGCCCCTAGCATTGTGTCGTCCCAAACCATCTGGCTGCCCTTCTGCTGTCTGCTCTTCCGTGGCCCTCTATGGCTGGGACATCTGGGTACTTGTATCTCCTCCAAAGGCTGCTGGAGGGGTTGTCACCCTCCATTCTCCCCTACCTGCAGCAGTGAGACAGACAAAACCAGTGGTTCCTGGCTTTGCTAGAAGATTCTGTGTTTGCTCCAACAGGCCAGTCACCTGCTCAGTGCATTTTTGTATAGCTCCAGCCATCCCTGGACACCTGAGGAGACTTAGAAAATTTCCAGAAGCTCGGGAATTCTGGAAAGCACTCTGTGAGCATCCTTTGCCTGTGGCAGTGGATCCATGGGCTCCTGAACAGTCTTAAAATTTTTTCGGAGGCTCTGGTGAACACATGGGCCCGTTCCAGTTACAAAGGAGTGTTTCCTGGGCCCTGAGTTGATTCCCCCTGGGATCTCAGTTGGGTAACAGAAACTGTTCACGACCCATCCCTGCTGGCATAAGGGGCTTGTGGACCTGAGTTTATTTAGAGAAATTTTAGGTGGCCCAGTTGATGCAAGGAAGCCTTCTCTAGGGGCTGCAGGTCTGCCTATAGAGTTGCTGGCATGTGGACGATGTGTCTAATATTTTCCAGAGCCTAAGATAAGACGAGGGTGTCCTTTCCAAGTCCCCCCCCCCCCCCC